ACACACACACACACACACACACACACACACACACACACACACACACACATATACAAACAACAGAAACCCCATGTCACTCTCAATTCCATAAATTTTCATGACACGTTTCTCAGCCACTGGTTGATTTTCCCTTGTAAGTTATGAAAGATACACACAAAGCCATACATTATTGAAGTTAAATAGAGAAATACCAATTTTCTTAAGACTGACGATCTAATTTTTTTATTTTATTTCTTACAAAAAAAATTTTTTGTAATTTAACTAATATAAACTCTCACTTGTATGGTCATAAGAACATTAAAAAAAGAGAATAATATTATTAATGAAAAAATGTATAAGGTTTTAAATAACTAATTTTATACGAATTTTATTGTAGAATCGTAATAGTATATTTATAAATATTATTACTAGGACTATTTTGTGGTTCTATTATCGCCAATGGAACTTGACACCACAATGAGAATGATTCTCCAAGTGCCTATTTGGGCGCAACGTGTAATTTATATTCAAGGGTCGTGTTTGAAAGATGGAGATCTTTCTAGGGCTAGGATGAGTGATGCTAAAGCTTGTTTCGTCTTGGCCGCAAGAAATTATGCTGACAAAGCTGCTGCGGTAATTACAATTTGTTGTAACCTATTAATACACAATTTAAATTGCCTGCGTTTTATTGTTATATATAAATAGGACGAACATACAATATTACGATCGTGGGCCGTCAAGGACTACGCGCCAACCGTCCCCCAATACGTTCAAATATTTCGACCAGAAAACAAATTGCACGTGAAATTTGCCGAATTTGTCGTCTGTGAAGATGAGCTCAAGTATGCTCTGCTCGCCAACAACTGCACTTGTCCTGGAGCTTCAACCCTAGTTACTCTTCTGTTACACACCAGTAGGGGACAGTTAGTATAATTTATTCAAAATACAAACCTTAATTGTCGCTATATAGGACCAAGAAATATTAATGGATACGTTTGAATAAATAATCAACTTAATGGTGGAAGTTTTTTTTTAACGTTATCTATAATCACTATATCAAAACTAATTACACATCGAATGCAACAAAATAAAAAAATCAACTTTGTGACAAATTCATATCTTATTATTAGCTTTTTTTTTAATCTGTGAACAGGGAAGGCCAGACTTCACCGGAAGAATGGCATAGACTGTACGGTAGATGTTCAGGAAATGAAATCTATCACATACTATTAGGCGATAGTAGATTCTTCGGCGAATACGAAGGCAAAAGCTTTACATACGCAAGTTTCCACTCACACCGAAAGTATTTTACCACGATCGATAGCAAATCTCATTCGAATGGATATAATAACAATGATTATCCCTATTATTAGGTTCGGTGTGTCTTTAGTGGGCGTTAGGCCGGCCGACCTACCAGAGTTCTACGAAGACACCATACTTTTGAACCCTGGGCCAAGACATATAATGAAGAAATCCGATATATGTTATTACATTAGCGTCAACAAAGAGGAAAATTCGTCATTTGTTGTCTCTAACAACGGCGCTGTACCATCAAAACAGCTAGATAGCGTGTTGGGTAATGGTTAGTTGTTGGTGTAATATTAATTGTACTACGTTATGTTTTTAAATCCAATCGAAATTCCCATATCGCGCACCTACAGATAAGCCGGCAGACGTTCAAAAGACTATTATAGAAAGTTACACGTTGCAAAACAAACAAACTGAGGAAGCGTCAGCAGTGAGCAATCATCTGAGCATTCCCAAACCAATAGACATAAACCCGAATTTATTAAGCCCCGAAATACTCGGTCAGAGAAGAGGTAATTAGCTCGATGATATTGAACCTAGTGCGTGCGCGTGCGTGCGAGTACAGTAAATGAATCAACTTAACGCGTGTTTAGGTAGTCGCCGTCCAAGCATTCTACCGGTAGCGGAAACAATGACCGGCTCATCATTGAACATATCAGTACCACATCCGGAAGAAGATGGCGACGAGAGCGACGACGAGCTCGAAGACGAAGTGCCGTGGAGATCGCCCAGTGAAAAAATAGCGTAAGGATTGATTTGACGAGTACAACCAGTGTTGCTGATTGGACGAATATTATTACTACGTTTAAGAAATAATATGCATTTTGATTTTGTGTGGTTGTAGTTTGCGCTGCATCTTCATCCTAGCTTACAATACGAGGGTGTTTTCAGTAATATTACAGTCCAGGCACAATACGAAAATAAATTGAATTGAAAATAAAACTTACTACTACTACTATTACTACTACTAAACGATTTACTACTACATAATATCAATACTAATGTTTTGTTTGCGGGAATAAAAGATATTTATAGTATTTTTTTAAATAAAAAAAACATGTACTAATAATACCACAGGATAACGAGAATTATTACTCTATGATTAAAAGAAGTCCATTCGCATTATTAAAGTAAGAAAAAAATCTCAAAGTAGTTATGTGTAGAAGTATATGATTTAGTATAAATTATTGACATTATCTCGATAAATAAGTATAATTTTCAGATAAAATAGTTTGATTAACCCATTGAAGCAATCTTGAACAAATTCCTTATCTCCATTTTTTTTTTCGGCTGAATAATATGCGATGTCTCTGGACCATAAATATACAGCAGTTGAAAAATAAACGAAGGCAAATATTTTTATAAGTCTTATTATACTTGGAAAACAAAATTTTCAAAATGCAATGAAGTTCATTTTATGAACGAAACATGTTAAATAAGTGTACTTTTTATTAATATACAATGTTTTTAATCCATATTTTATACGCCATTTCTGATAAATCATAAAATAATTGTTATTTATTTTTTTTTTAAAACAGTAATTTGGTTGATGTTATACTATTAAGACGATACTAAAATAATAATAAAAAAAATTAAAATGTTAAGACTTAATAATAAAATTCTACTTTTTTAAAACCCCCGTTTTTAATTTCAAATTTCAAATTTCAATACTGAATATATTTCTGAAAATTCAAGTATATAAATAATACATGATAAACCTTTAGTAAATAAAATATAGTTTAGTAATAAAAAAAATGATAATAAATGATTAAAAATGCATTGAAATCAATCAAAAACTGAATATTGTTTGTTGATAGAATCACCTAAGTACAATATAAAAGGAATATACGAATCTATCTTATCAATATGTCATATCGTACATAAAATATCATAAAATACATTTTTAAATGAATAAGCCTTTTTTCAATTTCATAAATTAACTGGAGGTGTATTTTTTAAAGTTTTTAAAAATAGTTAAATTTTTCCTTGTAACTTACATAAAACCAAATATTTTTTATTTTTACAATTTACATAAAAAAAGTGACTCCTTCTATTTGAAACATTATGTTTATTAAAAATTACTCCCTACCTGATAATTTGTAAAAATATTTCGTCACTAGTTTTATTTATTTTTGTTTTTTTTTTTTTATTTCCGTAAAACAGTTATAATGTTAAATAGCATTTTATATGATTTTTTCACGGAAAAACATTAAACGTACATGGTGGTACTTTTATCTGTTTCTTATAATTACTTCTATTAGCCATCGTTGATTAAATCCATTGAAACTTTAAACAAGTTTAATGTATTTTTAACTCAATAGGAAACAAAAAAACTAAAACTCGCTGAACCGTAAGAAACTCAAAAACGTATTTGTTAAAGAAATTGCTTAACAATATTGTTATCTAAACATATTCTTATTTTTATTTTTTTATTCTAATTACTTTGATTATTATGCATGTCGATTTCGTTTGTACATTTTTATTCGTTTTTTTGGCATGTTTGTTATAAACTTAGATTCCGCGTTACAGCGGATGGCAAGGAAGACGTTTATACACAGCCTGTTTGGCATGCTGAGTGGACCAGGCAAGTGTTCATGCAATTAAATGTACCGAACTGTCTTAAAAACAGTCGGCCACAAACGTTGTAAAATACATTAAACGTGTTAACACGTTTTTCTTCACTTTTTTTTTTTTTTGTTTTAATTTTTTACTATTTTTCATTCATTTTTTTATTTATATAGAATAGTCAAAGGATTCCCACCGGTATCACCGTACATAGGTGTCAGTCCCACATTGTGTTATTTATTAAAAGAAAAAAAACCACTATGTTGCCTACAACTCGCTCAGGTAAATATTATTATTGTACGATATGCGACTACCGTTTCATTTTATCACATACAATACTAAATTTTAACACGTTAGATGTATCTACATTTTCATTAAAACGATAAATTGTTCTAAATATTTAATGATATAATATACTATGGTATTTTGAAATACAATTTTTTTAAAAATATTGGATTTTCCACTTTTCAACCTCTGACTAAATATTATAAAACAATACATTCCATTTTTATACATTTGTATTATTTAATTTGTACGTATTACTCTTCTAATGTAACAGTATTGTTATACGCTTACCACAAAAAAAAAACTAAAATGAAATAGTTTATTTTTTAAATAAATAAGCAATTAATGAAATTTACAAAAAAAAAAAGATATTCGAATCCGAGACGGTTTTAAATTAACCTGTAATCATAATAAACTATATAAATCCGTGTCGAAATATTTTTATTTTTCTAAATTATTTTAAACGATTTTCAAACTAACGTGAACTAACCGTACAACAATAATCAACGAACTCGATCTGGATAATATATATATAAATATACAGTATATTCATGCTAAGAGATACCACTAAATATTTCAGTTCGATGACCTTGTATTGAAATGTATTTTCACTAAATGTCAAACAATACTTAAATACATATTTTTAGATCGATTTCAAATTTTTAACACTTTCGATACGCGCATGCGCAATACAACTTACTTTTTTTTAAATGATAACACTAACTTTTTTTTTACATATTCGGATAGAATATTTTTTTCTAAATAATTTATGAATAAAAAAATATTTTCTAATCATAAAATTTGCATATGAAATTTAACGATGAACTTTAATATTTACAAGTAATTTATTTTTGATGAAATTTAAATTAGATTCAACTTATTGTTACTTATTAGTATCCAGTTAGGAAATACCTGTTTGCACACAGATAAGATATAAATAAAAACTTTTTTATTATAATTTACTCTCATTTTTTTCATTCATTATTCTGAAATAGGATAACTAATTGAAGGTAATGAAAATTATAAAATTGTACACACTAAATATTAAATGTTAATACTGTAAATATTAAAGTTCATCGTTAAATTTCATCTGCAAATTTTGTCATTAGAAAACATTTTTTTTATATATATATTGTGTAGAAAAAAATATTCTATTCGAATATGTAAAAAAAATTGATGTTACCATTTAGAGAAAAAAGGAAGTTGTATCGCGCATACGCGTATCGAAAGTGTTAAAAATTTGAAATGTATCTAAAAATGTGTATTTAAGTATTGTCTGTCATTCAGTGAAAACCCCATTTCAATACAAGGTCGTCGAACCGAAATATATAATGGTACCTCTTAGCGTGAGCTAATATATTAGTGAGTATATATTAAAATATGTAATTAAAACAGTAAAAAGCATACTGTTGTAAAGTGAAGGGGGTAAAAATTACTCTCTAGAAGATTAATAATATGTTTTTCGTAAAATTCTTTATGCCATGGTTATCAAAAAAAATTATGTAGGTATTTAAATTGAATGTATTAATGACTGTATGGCCTATGTATTATCTTATTGAATACGAGTGTCCACAATTTTCAAGCACCGGTAATAAACAAAATGTCTAATAACGTTGTTTGAACGTAACAGGTGTGCGAGCATTGTGCTTACCGGAACGCCAACGACTACAATTGGCAAAACAAGACGATCATTTTAGCGGCTGATTACGCCTCGAACGGGATTTACAATTTTATCATACCACTGAGGGCACATTTCCACCAAAAAACCTCGTTGAACCCGATCATCATTTTACTAGAACGCCGTCCGGACATAGCGTTTCTGGACGCCATTTCGTACTTTCCATTGGTCTACTGGATGTTGGGATCTATTGACTGGTAAGACCGCACAGAACTGTGAAGTGTTGATGTACGCCATCCATAGCGAAATACGTTTTAAATAAAAATCCCGACATTTTAAACACCAATTATTTGGAACAAACATTATCTCAAGTGTGCACTAATCACAATACAGTGATATAATGAATTATACGAATTATAAACACGTTCGGTTATGACTCGCATAAATAATTAATAAACAAAAACAAACAATGTTTGGTTATATACGTGTAATATTGAAAAAAAAAGAACAAAATATTCAAAAAAAATAAAAATAATTATTTTAATATATTATAGGTTAGAATGTGTGCTACGTCTGATACTGACAGGATATTCAGTGCATGAATAAACTGACAGTATGATCGATTATCAACGAACAAACTTAGTATTATACCAATTTGTTATAGTATAATCTAATATTTGATATCCAAATATATTTTTAAAAAATTGTTAGATTTTTAAAGTGTGCATTAATGTTTAAGTTAAATCAAGAATAACATGATCTAATGGAAATCAATTTATCGGACAAGGAAAAATTTAATTTTCACTTACATTAGTTTCTGTAATATATTTTGAATTAAATCACCATATTTCAGAAAAATGAATTTATCAAATGAGCAAAAATTAAAATAAGAATAAAACCTTTAATATAATTATAATTATTGGAAAATAAAAAGTTACTTCTGAATCATTTTTAAATTAAATGTATCAAAACTAAACTAATTTGAACAAAGTATAAATATACAAATTCGATCTTCAGATGAATCATTATTTTGTAGTTCATGTGAAAATTTAGTACATATACATTAACATTTTAATATGAAAACGGTTAGATTATCGGATTTCAAAGATGTATCGCAAAATTATTTTTAATTGCTAAATTTCAAGTTAGATAAAATAAAACTTAATTTTTAATTGGTTTCGTGTACAACAATTCAAAATATTTTATCATACATTATTTATTGGTAAGATATATAAAATGATATTATTTAAGTATTTTCATTTTTGCTTAGAATTATTAATAAGTTATTAAATTAAAAATATTTAAAATAAAATTAGCATTAGTTCATTCAAAATGAAATGAAACGTACACATATGCCAATAACTCTCCGATATTAAAACTACATAAAAATATTTATTTAAATTAAAATCCGTTCTCTATTAATAACTATATTATTTTATGAAAATTCACTTAGACTAATTTTCTCAAGCAAAATTCATGTTTTATTTCTAATAGAAAAGAATGAATAAATAATAATTATTATTTTAAAATTAGTATCTTAAATATAATGTATATATATATATATATGTTATGGGTAAATTATACAATTTGGGCACTTTATACATTGTCCGGACAGTATATAAAATGCCCTTCGTATATTAATCAATATAGATAACGGATGATATGATTTAATAAAATATGATAAATCAATGAATAATGGCATGTATTTATATTATTGATTAATTCATCTCAGTAGGTATAATTGGTTGAACCACCAATCCTTTCTTGGCTGTGCTTCCTTTTTTTTACACGATTCGCAACTATTTAAGTATAGCATTATCATATCCCTGGTGATATTTTTATATTTTGTATTTACCTTGTGTTTTATCCTGTGTCGTCCACCATGTCCAATCGATAAATTAACATTATGTATAACATCAAATAACTCTTCATTATGTACATAATATTTAATTTCGTTGTTTTCATATACTGGTACAATTAACTTGTTAACAACAGAAACTTTTAACACCTCATATTTTTTTAAAAGTTTATAATCATTCTGTTGCTCTTTCTTTGGATTGTTTTTTAATTGATTTATATGTAAAATGTATTGATCATATTTTAACTTGGTAAAAAATGAAGTATTTGAACCTTTTTTTTAACAAATTGTTTAAATCTTTATTAAACTTTTCCATATTCGAATAAGTATTAGGTACGCACTGAATGAATTAACTTGCACTATACAAACGATTCGCGGTTACTAAATAGTTCATTTTTGAGAATAGGTAAAAGGTCGACTGCACGATAAGCACTAGGTACAACTACATATAAATTATAAATCAATAAATATAGTAATAATATATAGCATGTACAGGCGTATTATATGTGAACAAGCGGATATCCCCATTGTAAAAATACGATAAGAACAAACAAACTAGTTACAGATAATAATTTTATTTTATTTTAACTATGTTTTACGATTTATCATATTTCATTAAATTATATCATCCGTTATCTATTTTGCCCAAATTGTATACTTTGCCCATAACATATATATATAACGAAGGAGAACAATAATTACATACCTATTTCTGATTTGTTATAATTGCGTTAGGATTTCAGAAATTTGAATTTCTCGACAGCTGATAAAATCTTTTAAATCAATTTATATTATGTATAATTTATTTATAATAAACCGAATTTAATGAATTAGTTTCTAGCAATCACGGTTAAAACTTTATAACTACACTGTTTTTTAAATTAAAAAAAAAAAAATTAAATTAATAATAAAGAAAAACCTCTTAATGAAAAAAAAAAAGTTAGATAATAGATAAATCATTCAATCACATAATAAATAAAGCAGTATAATATTAATTATGATCATTTTAGATATTTTAAATAAAAATGAATACCGTTATGCGGTCGAAAAACTGAGTGTTGGGTATAGTTTATTATAATTCAGAACATCATTGTACAAGTTATTTCTGTAGTTTAAATAGTAATATACTTTGCAGCTTAGACGATCTCTTGAGGGCTGGAATATTATTAGCAGAGAACGTAGTTGTGGTAAACAAAGAACTATCAAATTCGGCTGAAGAGGAAACATTAGCAGACTGTAATACCATTGTTGCAGTTCAAACAATGTTTAAGTGAGTATACTTTTTCGGAACTTTTTTTTTTTTATTAAATTAATTGTTTCAACAAATTAATGTTTTTAACTATTTTAGTTAAAATTAATAATTAAGACATAGGATAGGTTAAAATAAGTTTTTACAGTAATATATTAAGAATTCTTATGAAGATTTAGATTAAGATGGTTAAAATAACAGTGGTAATAACAAAATATCCTATGGAAGGCGTAGTTTCAATCTGCAGGTTCTATTTTTTTTCTCCGATTTCATAATGGAAGGCTCCTTCGATTGAGTTGAGTTTTGTGTGGAATTTTTTTAATTTGTCTTTAATATATATGTCCAGGTAATGTATTTCTGTGTGGTTATATAACTATTTGTTGCCATGAACCAAGGTGCTTTAAAGACTGTTCTTAAAAATTAATTTTGAAGGGTTTGAAGTTTATTTATTTTTGTTTGTAAGGCAGCTGCCAATACTAGGTATGTATATGTTATTATCGGTCTTATGATTACCATGTGAAAATATAGAGAACATTTCATCTGTAGAGTTGGGCTATAGTAGTGGGTACAGTATTCATAGTCTACCTACCAGTATACCCTTGGTTTATTTTTTGTTCATATGTATTTTCCATGTTAATTTTTCGTCTAGATGTGGTCTCAGATATTTAAGTAAGTCATATCTGTTGTTCCATTTTTTCTTGGTTATTGATTTTTATTAATATTGGGTTTATGTATTTCTTTAGCGTAAATATTTTTGTTTCGCTTTTGGTAGGGTTTAGTGTTAGATTCCATTTTAAGAACCATCCGGATAATTTGCCTAGGGTGTTTTGTAAATCTTTTATTGAGGATTCAAGAACTATGTTTTGTGTAGTTATAGCTGTGTCATTTGCGAACATTGCCTATTGGCAGTGTTGTGACGTTGGTACATCATATGAGTAGATATTAAATAGCGTTTGAACTAGGATTGATCTTTATAGAATACCCGCCTTTATCATTTGTATTTGGGATATGTCGCTTCCTATTCTGACCTAGAAGTTGCGTTTTGTTAGAAATGACAAAAGTGTATTGTAAATATATGTTGGTAGGTTTAGTGTACTTATTTTTATGATGAGCCCTAGGTGCCAAACTTTATTAAATTCTTGAGATAAGTCAAGAAAGGCTGTCTTAGTGTAATTTTTATTTTATTTCGAGACTGAATCAGTATTTGAAAATAATAACTTAGGGGTACATACTAGACTGTAAGGGCTCATTAAAATTTTATAAATAACTAAACCGATTTTCATAATTCAATACAACTATGCATTAACCGCAAGTTGAACGTTGTTTTTCTTTATTTTATGCCGTAGATATTGTGCTAGATTTAATTAATATAACATTGTATTTAGTAAATAATCAATTTACATCTACTGTACAGCTTATCATGCGATTGAACAATAGATGCGGTGCTGATAAAAGACTAGGTTAATGGAAATGTTTCATTAGATTATGGATTATTCCTATACTCATTAATTTCGTCAGGTCGTTTCTCATTCACCAGCGAGTCATCATTTGTTTAGGATCTAATTCATACCTTATATTTTAATGTCGTTTCCACACTTTTAATTCTTGTCGCAGGCTAAACGTTAATAGATATAATTCAAATAGGTTTTACTGACAATTAGCTAGTCATTTCCTGAAAGAGGTCAAATATGGTCAAATAAGTTTTGAATTTGTAATATTATAGCAAACATCAGCATCTTTAATGTGTACACATTTACAATACATAAACTACCATAAATACGTTAATTAATGGAATATTTAAATTATTATGTTTAATCTGTTCTTTGTCCAATACTTCTAATACTTCGTGTTGGATAACCGTTTTACACAATCTCATACTGAAACGGTAGTACATATATTATGAGTAAATCCCAAAATCTAAATATTATTATAAGGATTAATTCTGTAATTGTTAAATAATAACTGACATTGAATACATCTAAATATTTTAATGGATTGATAAATTATTGATAATGGTACTTTTATATTGAATTGTTAAGAAAGAAAAATAATGACCATTCAAACAAAATAATAATTTATACAACACAATATTGATCACACTCAACAAAAATTATTCAGCACTTAGGTGCCTATAATTAAGTATTACTCGATTCAGTCGTTAATACGTGCCCATATGTATATTTGTATTTTTTTTAATATATGTATTTTATTTTTAAAATATCCAATAATCAATTTTATCGTCTTCTGTATGTTTTCAAAAAAATATAGATTTTTCCCAAACATACGAAGCATAACGGAGCTATCCCAGTCGTCTAATATGAGATTCATGCAGTTCAGAGCACAAGATACGTATGCATTGCATTTATCAAAAATGGAAAAAGTAAGCTGAACAGTTATTCGATATATTTTTGATTTTTATCATGAATCTAGAACAAATCGTATAGCGTATTATATGTATACATTATTTTAAACGTAAATTTTAATTTTAATGAAAGCTAAATATTTAATCGATATCACTGCAAAAAAAAAAAAATATATATACATATTATAGAAGGTTTCATGGCCCAGTGGATTAGGTGGTTGTGCTTTAATGCATGGTCACCGGTAGTTTCGTTTTCCAGACTGAACCACAGTCCTTAGGGAAGAAACTACCACCACCTCCAACTGTTCCAAAACACGAGTTCAAAAACAAATGTTTCAAGAATAGTTAACCTTATCATGCTACTCACCAAACGCAAGAGGATGATGGCCTTTTTGTCAAATTCTTCCTCCTCCCCTTAAAATTTAAAAAAAATTAAAATATTATTTAAACGTTAGCAAATTAATTTCATACTTTACGCAATGTACATGTAGTACTAAAAAAATTAATTATGCAGATAGAAACATTGTTGCTAAAATACTAAATAAATAGTCTCACTTGTAATTTTTTATTTCACACACAGTTTAAAGAGCTGTAAATAAAAAAGTTTGCATACAATTTTAATGTAAGTTAACAGCTTTTACATTATTGAGCTACTAATGGTATACATTTATTTTTATGGAAAAATCAATTCCAAGACCCTGGAGATGTTCTTTGAAGTACTCCTACGCGTGAAATCGAGTATTTGACCATAATATAATATATTTTTTTTGAACACATTATTTAAATTACTATATTGTAATAAAATAGAAATGTTTCAATTATATTATTTTTTTTTTCATTTTTTGTTTCTGACAGCACGAGAAAGAAAGAGGCTCGCATATATCGTACATGTTCCGACTGCCATTTGCGGCCGGTTCCGTGTTCAGCGCCAGTATGTTGGACACGCTTTTATACCAAGCATTTGTAAAAGACTACGTAATTACTTTTGTGAGATTACTTTTAGGCGTAGATCAGGCACCTGGTTCTGGTTTCTTGACTTCGGTGAGTACACTAACACTGATATTGATTATTGTATTAATATTATGCCTTTAAAATTGCTATTTTTCCCCAGTCTAAATCTTAATTCCCGTACATTTTGAAAACAAATAATTTAAGTAGCATTAAATTTATTTAAAACAAATTTTGTGGCATATGATCTTCATATCAAGAAGAAAATTTAAAGTTGTATGGCAAATCTTCGGTATTTTGCAGTATTATTAGTTACTTTATTCGAGAAACAAATCCAGTAGAGTACGATTGAGAACGTTGTACTTTTTTAACAACACGATTGAAAGCGATGTCGGCAGATCAAAGAAATAATTTTTTGTACTATATAATTAAACGATTAAGAATGATTTTTCGAATGATGTTGTCTGTTCGTGCAAAAATATACACAGCGAAGAAACAGTGGCAAAAACGTCGTCGCACGATATGTAATAGTATACCTATATATATATATATATATATACACTTATATACTATTATATATTATTGTATATAAAGGTAACCCAAACACGAACCGTAGCAATAATGAAATCAATTGAAAACAATATCATCAAAACCATGGCCAGCAAAGATTATGATCGGATTATTTCCACAATAAATTCTTATAAAGAGTTAGAACAAAGGACATCATGAAATGAGGCTAGGTAAATTGGGTCTCCGATATTTTGTGTACATTTTGAAAGCGGTAAATTGAGTCCCGGGAAAAAAAGATATTAGGTAAGTTGGGTTCCGGGGAAAAAAAGGTACTAGGTAAATTGAGTCCCAACTACTAACTATACTACCTCGCCGCAGTCGTTTTACAAATGACAATTCACACTGTTTCTATCGGTTATCGATTCCTTTGTAATCAAATAACTTCATAACGTCTTAACTTTGATTGTCTAATTAAGATAACGTATATAGGCATATACGTATATTAGTTTGTCGTACATCGTGTGTCAGTTATCAGTTAACATCAATATTGATGATAGTTCTTATGATTACACACAGACACAAGTGTACGAAATCTGAGCATTTTCATTATATTTTTCGTAGCGTGCATTGCGTACTGTACGTCGATTTGAGTTTGTTAAATTCGTATTTTTTAAGTTTTTACCGAAAATGTAATAAAAAACACAATAATATTGAAATTGACTTCTAATAAAAATTATAAGATATTTATAAAAAAATTGTTTACCTTGGACTTAACTTACTACCTTTTTTTCGCCGGGACTCATCTTACCTCCTACTACCTTTTTTTTTCGGGACCAAATTTACCGAGAAAAGGTTATTTAGGATCCAATTTACCAACTCCCCATGAAATATCTTAAAGTCACTGGAAATAATTATATCTATAAGTAGATATTAATAAATATATCTTAGACTGACAAATAACTGATATCTGTATATTTTATTTCTATTTTTAATTAATGCGGTAACGTCACATAAAAGTTGGTAGTTAAAAATGTTCTCAATCGTATTATTAAAAAAGGTACTGAAAAAAGGTACCGTTCTCAATAGTGTTTTACCTAACAAATTAATATACATTCCTACAAAAATCAATTAATTAGTATTCTAATCTTAAACTCTTAATGCTAGCTTCACACTCTCGTCGAGGTGCCACGAGGCAGCACGAGCACGAGAGTGTAGTCGGTTCACTCGTGTCGCCTCATCTCGCCTCGCCTCGCATCGTGCGCGCTCCGTTTGATGTCGGTATTTTGGTCAGGAATCAAAAGAACACAAGACACCAGGGTTTGACTAACCGCTAGAACAACTAAGTGAGTCACGAGACTACACGAGAGTGTAGAGTGTACATTCGTGCGCTGCCTCGCATCGCATTACTTTGACAAGTCTCGATGAGGTGACCTTGCGAGAGTATGGAGCTTAACAGACCAAAGAAAAGATTCTCGTGTTGATTTTTGAAAAGCACATTCAAAATAAGATAATTCACACATAATTAATAAGATAATAAGGCTTAGTCTTATTTACTTTAAAATGAATTACAATATTCATCCCTTAACTACCTTCATATGAATTTATATGAATCATCATGTCATTCGTAATTACTATCAGTTTATTATATTTTTGTTATATTGATCCTTTTATTTTTCTTTCCTCTTCGTCTCGAAGTGATTACTAGTTCATTTAATTATTTTGTAAAATAAATTTCTTATTCACTATCATTTATACTCTGTAGGTACAAAATTAATCAATTGATTTATTAAACAATAAGCAACTATCAAAACGTTGGAATATCCTTTTAAATATATATTATTATAGTTTAATTTTTAACTGAAACAAATATAAAATAGTTTCTTATACTTTTTAGTCCTTTGATGATTTCAGATTTATATTGAATTTATACATTTTATAATATCGAATCCAATATAATATTATTCTGCAAATAACTTATTATAATAACTTTTGAAAGATCGATTTTATTGAATCACGGCGATGTTCTTTGTACATTTATTTGTAATTTTAATGTATATACATAATATATTAAGAACGTAATATCTATAATTCCGTGAAAAACCGTACAAAATCAATTATGTATAATATTTTAACATGATGGAAATGCTTCAATAGATGAAGATTACAAAAGATGATATGTGGATACGGACTTACGGACGCCTCTATCAAAAACTGTGTTCTACGACTTGCGAAATACCGTTAGGTATTTATAGAACTCAAGACTTGTCAAATATAGAATCGCCACCGGTAAGTAAACCCGACTCAATTATTACTATTGTAGATTTTCTTATTACTCGTTTGATCTTTATATAATTCTAACTTCTTCACTGAATGCAAACCAAATATTATACACATCGAGAATGTCAACTTTCTAATTACTCGTTTATTCTTCTATAACTTACAGGATGCATGTGATACCGACTGCGATAAAGTATCTGAGGTACGCAATACTAACTAAAGAATATCGATGATTTATAGTAATATAGTATAATGTATTTGATTTTACTAATGCTTTATAATCTCACTCGGTCATGAAATCATATATTATCGCTCGCTTATTATTTTCTAAACAATAGGGTTCGGACCATGAAGCTTACATGCCCATACCGACTAACTGTCTACCTAATTGCCACAGGAACCAAAATTCTGTAGTGAGTACATAAATCAATTATAATTAGCAGCGTTTAAATGCACAGCGAAAAACCTTATTAGTAGTGTCAATACAAAAATACATACAATATAAGAGCTACCCATATATTATAATGTACATTTCATAAAAAATTCATAAAATAAACAGTCAGATAAAATTATTTATATAATTTATGTTAAACTTTTAATCGAATATGAGTGTACTTAAAGTCTTGACCCTTTCAATGCTACATTTAGATATTACACAATATATTTTAATGTTTGTTAATATTTTGGAATATTCGAGAGGTTAAAATTATATAAAGTAGCACATTTACTTTAAAAATGAGTTCATACATTTATTGTGTTAGAAATCGCTTTGAAAGGGATAAATTTTGCCATTAATTTATGGTACTTCATATTTCTCTCAGTAATTTAATTCATTATTTTAATTTTAACTGAATTTCTAAAGAAATTAGATTGAAAGATAAAATAGCCATTAAATAAATAACTGCTCACTATAATATATTAAGATAACAGTAAGAAACTAGTAAACTCAGGTTTTCATCATCTTTATATTTGTAGAACTGAGTAAGTATTCTTTATTTCACGTAAATGTAGAATAATTAGTTAAGGATTTTTACGTTCCTATGGTAAAAACTACAGAATATTGATAATATTATTTATTGAGTTTGAGCTAACCATTAAAAGTAATGCATGCCATTAATTTCTTAAACTGTATTTATTTAGGATTGCTTGCGTAGATTTAATTGTATTAAACGGTGTTGGTGAGTTGCGGCCCGATCCCTAAATAACGTACGAATTGCGGCCCGTGTTTATGAAACAGGCGTGCGAGTTGCGGCCCGTGCTTATAAAACAGACGTACAAGTTGCGGCCACATTTTACATTTTATTTATCACTTCATATCAGCCTATCAGCGTTACCCAGGAGACACCACGAGGAGGTTGGCTGAGTGGTCTCCCAAAAATTTGTTTTTTTTTTATTTATGTAAAAATGGCAAAATGTATGGTAATTTATGGTAAAATGAATTTTAATATTTATGTAAAATATGTAAAAATATATATATTTATTGGTTGGGCAAAAACTTAAAACTTAATGATTTGACGAAATCAAACTGCTCTGTTTCTTTTTGTGCTAGCTTTGTCATCTATTGTCTTATAAATGCTTTTTTTTCACATATTTTCTTCGTTTTTATTCCATTGCTTCTATCGTTTTATAGTGTTTTGTGGAAACGAAATTTGTAGCCTTCGTAGAGAATAATTGGTTTTGATTTTTCACTATTTATAAACTCCATAGCGCACTTATAATAAACTGTATAACACACTCAAACAGAACTTTTAGTTTTCGTAGATATAGATACTAAGTGGTGAACAGACTAACACTGTAATATTTTTCGTTTGAACTATTGACGTTATGGTATCTACCTTTAGATAAGATACTGCCGATACTGCCGGCACAAAATTGAAAATAAATAAATTTCCCAGGCCGCAATTAACTTAGTGATAAAATATGACCGGGCCGCAGTTCATCGGTCTTTAACACGTAAATGACATGTCGGGCCGTAACTCACCTATAGCCGTATTAAATGCTATGCATTATCTTAAAATATTAATATTCGCTAAAAAAAATAATCACCATACTTTAAATTTACTTTTTTCGTGCTTATATGATTGCGCTCAAGTACTATAAAATACCTATAGTATGAATTAGATAGTTCTACAAAAAAATGTATTATATATGAAAAATTTCAATAAATATAGAAAAATGAAACAATATTAAATGCAAACATTTCAAGTATAGTGTACTTCATGTACAAAATACTCACATCCAATTTATGTTGAAATAATACATAAATTTAGTATCCATTTAGTGATAGATGTTTATAAAACCATAGAAGATAATGAGGACATTTTTTTAGGTTTCCCTCTAATAAATTAATACTAATTTGAATAAATCATCATATTTTCATAACATATTTCAAACTGTTTTTATTTATTAATGGTTATTTTGAGCTTTTCAAAATGTCATCCAAATAAATTGAATATACCAAAATTCATTTTTTAAATACATTTAACGTCTGCAATACGTAATAAAAGATTTTACTGTATCAATATTAATGAATTAATATCAATAATACTATTTATAACCGAGGAATGTTGATTTCTTGACTTTATGAATAAACATAATTCATTTTTTATCTAAATTGAGGTTTTCCGTATAAAAAGGAATTATTTTATATATTTTCATACATTTCATAACATTATTTATACCATTGTACAGTAAAAAAATATATATATGTGTCAAATATTAAAAATAATTTAAAGTATTTTTTATTTTAGATTATTTCAATTGAAATAATTATGGACTTTTATGAGATTATAAACATTTATAGCTTTCATGATAAACTCAGGATCTTAACGAAATAACATCAATAATCTTAGTTTTGATGATTAATAATTTCACAAACTATGCATAATATGTACTTACACATAAGCCAAGATGTATTAAATAAGCTTTAAAAGACTAAGAATAAAAAATGTAAAATCAAACATTTATTAAACTTCACGACTCGCAACACAATGTATTTCTTTACTAGACATGATATATTGTCAACAAAAATATTGCACAATCAAATGGTTTATAGAATCCGAAAAAAAAACCCTGTCGACCCACTTAAAAATAGTGTGGCGTAGTGAGTTGTACTGCAATTGACCGATGGTACTATCAAAAATTTAAAAAACGCACACAGTTGTAAGTAACTCACTCGCTATTACGATGCCATCTTTCACTGCACATTATACATATGAAACGAATGAAAATCGTTTTATCCAAACACTAACTACAATTAAAATGTTCACACAGTTCTCGATTAATATGCACGACGATGCACGTGACAACCACGACAACTTGATCGAGCGGGCGGAAATCGTGAACCTGGTCAGATCCCGAATGGACAGCCTTAACTTACCTGCAGTCGATCACGAAGACGTGAGCGAGAAACGAAGCAGTCTTTCATACGTCATTATTAATCCAAGTTGTGACCTAAAACTCGAAGAGGGTGACATTGTGTAAGACCCGTCAATTAATAACCGTATCCAATTGGTTTCTTCCATGCGAAACGAGTGGAACGACTCAATTACAATACTTAAAATTCGTCCCGGTGGGGATGAAAATAATTTATTCCGATGTTTTCACCCGTTATATGCAATAGCATATTTCGTGTACACTTGCGAAAATCCCATCAATTAGTTGAATCGGTGATATTTAGAAAATAAATTCAGAATTCTTTCTACAGACCTCCACACACGAAACATTTGGATAGCCTGGCAACCAAAATATTCATCTTATTATTTTCGTTTAATAACTCAACATCATAAATTTCCCCCGTTCCCCCCCCCCCCACGACAATGTTTACTTCTACACCTATATCTAGGCTCTTTACACAGCTTGACCATTATCTTCTCTCTTCACACTTAAACCAATTTTCTTCAACATTTTTCTCCTTTATATCCTTTATCTAGAGGAAACCCTGTGTGTCATCCATCATTTCTTGGACTGCCTCCGCTTTATCACTTTATGTTATCCTAATACACTTATTTCCTGTCTCTGGGTTACCGAAAACCGCATATCAGCTTCTCCTCAAATCTCAATTTCCTCCTAATAGACTCTCTATAAACTCATCAGTCCTAAGTTCCGTTTTTGTAAAACAAACAACAATCTACAATTGACTTCCTCCCCTACAAATAAAAAACAAATGTATACACATGGAAAACTGACGGAATTTCGTTGATCGCCATTCGTACGTTTCAGATACATTCTGCGTCCCAGTCCGTTTTCGGCACAGAAAACATTCGAGAGGCACAACAGCCGGAGGAAGTCCAACATCAGTTTCAACTCGACCGTTGGACAACTCGGCTTCGGCGGTTCCAGGAGGGGATCGAGCATGGCGTTCCCGCCGTTTATGACCCGACCACCGCCGTTGGTCACCACCAAAGCCAACAGCCTGTCGCTGCCGGACAGCCCGACGGTGGGCAGTGCTCTTCGGGCACGGTCCAATTCTCTGCGGGTGGTCGACGACATACTGCTGAGAAGGTCGAACTCGCTGAGGCAAGGGCTGTCCATCTGCAACCGAAAAAGCAGCCTCGAAGAGCTGGGAGTGTCACATTTCCCCATTGGGTCCGTTGCCCACGAACGTAGACCTAGCATGCAAGTAAGCCTAAGCGCTCGATCAATGAGAAATATCGTCACCACGCGAAGGCGGTCTGAGGTAACTTTGTAGTTATTTCAGTTAGCCTCGATAATGATTTGTATACATCACCAGCTTGACATTAGAACCGTATAGAAATCGCACATCGAACGCCGGCACCGGTGGACTCATTCGACACATTCGACGGGTACATCTTGATTTTGATTTTTTCTTTTGATTTTTTTTGTATACATTTTCACATGTACAATGTGTATTCGAATCCACCACCGAGAGAAAAGGAGGCGCTGGAAAAACGATTTCTAGACTGTGCGAGCGTATCATATATTTATATCACGATATGATTATTTAATATCATTTTTTCGTCGGACTTGTAATTATTTTTTCGGTTATGGTAAGGGATACGGGCTTAAACAGTATATTATTTGTTACTACTGTTAAACAATTATTCGTGACGGAGAAACAAATTCAATTACCGTTACATATCGTATCAATATGTTTTTAAGCGTTTCTCATAAGCCGTCGCTGATATGCAATATTCGGCTCGTATTTAATCGTTTTCTAAACCACTAACGCGCAAACTTAATATCACGTTTCAAAATTAAATATTTACATGTCCACATATCTGATTTTCATCGATCGTTATCGTAATTGTGTGACGCGAGTATAACAGTATAATAATATCCGATGTTTATCATACGCAGTACGAATAAAAATACGGCTTATGCGAATTTTATTGCACAGGAAATATTATCATATTCGATAAAAAATATATCAAAACACGAAATTATTTTTTTTTTCTTTTAAACGCGACAGCTATTTATTTCCTGTTTGTAAAAATCATACACTTTGCAACTGTGGAGGCGTGTAGAGAAATAAATAATTTAACTAACTATCCCAGCCCTTCACCCATTGTTCCGACGTCCTTGGGGATCCATCATGTTCGTAATTGAATTACGAAGCGAACCATTATTATTATTATTCAACTAATTTATATAAAAACTGCATTTTAAGCTCGATACATTTTGCTAGGTTAAATTAATAATATCACCTTGTAATCATATTATTATAATTATTATTATTATTATTATTATTATTATTATTATTATTATTATATTATTATTATTATTATTATTATTATTATTATTATTATTATTATTATTA